TAAAAACAATTATAAGTTTATGTTGCTTAAATAATTCAAATAATTTTTCACCTTTCCAATCACAGGCATTTCTACCTATACTTAAGCAGGGAGGAGGGAGAGGGAGATCAAGCCCTGGTATGGATTTTGTGATATTTTGTAGGGGAATTACTGCGTGCTAGGACACCACCACTGGAGTTCTCACTCCAGTGAAAACTTATGCAAAGGAAGAAATTCTACCTGCTCCTTCTAAACACCAGACCCTTAGACCAATGTAGTCCATTTAAATCCCATATTTTCCTCCACCATCTTCATGGAAACATCAACCCTGACATGAGTATTTATTATGCAGCTGTATTGTCATGAGAAGAGCTGCAAGGTTCCATTGCCCACAGGAGTGAGGAAACCACCATTCTTGGCCAGGGTTGGACATGGGATTTGAGAGAAGAGCCCTTATATTTCAACATTTATGTCCAAACTGGCTTTGTCAGAAAACTGGAGAAGATCAGTGTAATCACTGTCTTGAGAGGGAAATTATTACCTGTATGCTTTCATCCAAGGTGATTCTCCAGGAACATTCTTTCTAATATCAATTTTAAGACAACCACAGCTGTTTTCCGGAATATTGCAAATGACAATCTCCATGACACACCACAGTTGAAGCACAGAAATAAGATATATCTATCTTTTTTCTCTTCTTCCTGTCAATCAAGTGTTAAAACTGATTTATTTGGAAACATCCCCCTGATGACTGTGAATTATTTATACAGAAGACAACTTGCAGATGACTTTTGGTAAATTCTAAATTCTATCTGGAAAATTATTAATTCTGCAGTAACCATAAAGGCTGTGTGCTAGGAAGCCCAAGCTCTAATGAAAACACTTTGTTGCCATCTAGGAAGGATAGTCATTTTACTATTCGATAATTTCTGGGGCATGCACAGCTTCTCTGGGCAACCTGTGCCAGGGCCTCACCACCCTCACAAGGAAAAAATTCTGCCTAATATCCAGTCTAAACCTACTTTCTATCAGTTTGAAGCCTTCTTTTTCTTTAAACAAGTTGGTATTTCTCTTCAAAACTTCTAATTCCAATTAATTCCTTAGTCATATCATTATCAGCTTTATTTTTTCCCTATTCCAATTAACAGAAAAGTTTTTATTTCATATTATTTCAATGGCTACTATAATAATATTTTTCATAATATTTAATCATATAAATATTAGGTATGTTCCGGTCAATGGGCCCATAGAGTTACTGGAGAAATTCCATGTAATGAGCTGATACACTGACGTCAGGTGGCATGACCGAAATCCACTGTAGAGTGTCAGAGAATTTAGGCCAGAGAAACATAACTTTAGCAAGATGATCAGAAGAACTGGGGACCAGTTAATGCATACAGAAAGAAAGCAAAAAAAACCGCAAAACAAAAGAAACAAACTACAAACAAAGCAACCAAAAACCAAACATTACAGAACCTGCAAACAGACTAAATGGCACAATCTAAAAAAAATATTTAGTGGTGCTGTATATAGTAAATGTCATGGCAGAATGATTTTGGAACAATTATTTTAATTGGTCACAGACTAGATTATTATAAACATCTTTTCTATTTCATTTTTTGGACATCTGTAGCTGTGGAGTAAGGCTGTTAGAGCTTCATCTCCCCATTTCCCTGCTGCCCTTCTGTCTTGCAGGGGATCAGCTTCGTTATTCCTGTGGCTTCCCCCACACCCTGCCTGCCACACAACACTCTGATCCTGCTGGCCAAGTGGGAAGGCCAAACTCTTGATAAGGTGCTTAAAGCCCTCCTTCCGTTATTCCCTAAATATGGCAGCAACCACCCCGAGGCCCCTGCCAAATTCCACTCCTGTTCATGGCATCTTGCTAAATGGCTGGATCAGATGTCAGCTAGGCAGCTCACCACAGCTCAGTGGCACTGTCACATGCCACTAAACGCTCTCCTGATTTGACCTCAGCATCAGCTTCACTAACACTGATCAGGAAGATGACTTTCCTCACAGAAAAGATTGTCAGGCATTGGAATGAGCTGCCCAGGGAGGTGGTGGAGTCACCATCCTCAAAGGTGTTCAAGAATCAGCTGGACATGGCACTCAGTGCACTGGTTCAGTTGACAAAGTGATCTGTCACAGGTCAGACTTACTGACCTTTGAGGTCTTTTCCAACCTCATTGATTCTGGGGTAGGTTTCAGAAGAGCCAGACTTTTTGTGCACACACGCGTCTCCCGCTGAGAGTGTTCTGACATGTCCTTTGCTTCCTAATGGGAAGTGAAGGGCAGTGCCTGGAGAATGTGTCAGCACCACCTCCACAGATCAGCAGTATCTGCAGCTGGAGAGGCCAGGGAACAGCCAGCAGAACTGCCATGTTCTCTTTACAGAGCCCAAATTAAAAGAATGAAAAGAGCACACAAAAAAGGGATTTGTTTGTGCTGCTCAGAGCAGCATTAAGTCCCCTCTGTGTTCAGTGACCCCAGCAGATGGACCATGGTGCACAGCTGCTGGCATCCAGTCCTTGCCTGCAGAGCCACCCAGAGTCATGCAAGAGACCACAGGGGGAATCTCTCTTCCCTGAGATACACATTTTAGACCTCTCAGTCCAACCAAACCCACTCCTATTTGTGCCTCTCTGAGCCCTGTCCCCCTTTGAAAGGCTTGGTCTTCCCTTCCACAGCATTTTCTTTACCCTGCCTGTACAAAGAATGTGATGCAATTGTTCCTAGAGCTCCAGGAGATGAATGGTGTTATATAACTGCTTGGTACTGTTTTATGGTTTTTTAGGATGATGGAAAAGTAAAAGGGAAATGTGGACTCCCCTTGGGGCCAGGCTAAGCGAATTAAACTTACATTACTGGTGACCCAAATGAACATTCACTTCAGCACCCCCAAGAATGCATTTTAGTGCAGTGTCCCACGTGAGAAGACAAGCCATTAATAACTACAGTATGTGTGGGGTGAGGGAGCTTCTCGGTTGCAGCCCCTAGCCAAAAGAGTTTACCAGAAAGTGCTGGTTTGTTGTTTGGCTGGATTTGTTTGGGGTTTTGATGTCTGCAATGATTTGCTATTAAGTTCTGATATAGATGCCTTTGATATGGCAAAGATGCCTGATTCAGCCTGCTGTTCATTGCAGGTCAGCTAACATAAAATCAGTAGTGGTTAGGGTGTGTTTCCTTCTTGTGATGGGCCTGGAAGAGAAAACTCTCTTCCTGTCTCACATTTCCAGGAGCCTTCTTGGAGGGATTCAGTTCTCTTACTCTCACACTCTTCTGCAGCACAAATCTGCATCGGCACATTACGTGACTGTACCATGTACCCACACATTTACCCCAAAATCCATTTGGAATCCATGGCCCCAAGGTTTCAGCCCTGTTTATAACTTATCTTTAAATAACCATCAGAAAATCAAAGAATACCTGGAGCTGGAAGGGACCCACAAGGAACATCCAAGTTCAACTCACAATCTCAAAACTCAAAATCATAAAAATCAGTGCATCTAAAACACCTGCTGAAAATTGTGTTCATTTAAGCATGTGTCTATGCTAAATGCTCTGTTGAACTGGGCTCTGACCATGTTCCTGGTCACATTAGTGATTGGCAGCAATACCTGTCATTAGAAAAAAATCCTTTACTGCCCTATAAGCCAATAGAAATTATGTATTTATTTGTAAAGGTGTCAATACCAAATTTGCCTGAACTGTGCTTAGCAAGTGCTTAGAAACCCAAGCCAAGCAAATATTTTAAATCATACTTTGAAAATTATTTGTTTTCTTTCTATTGGAAAGTTCTCTTGTTTTGTTATGGAAAAACACAGCATATTCAAACAGAAGGCTTAATTTAATTTCCTGTCAGATGAGTGAGCTCAGGAAGCTCCCAGAAGAGAAGGCAGCACCTGAATTTGTACTTCCATGAGGAGAGAACCAGTTCAGTGAAAGCAACAAAAAGACACATGGTGGGAAGAAGAAAAGTAACAAAGGAGGGAGGAAGGTCTTCCCTTTGTGTCACCAAGATCAGCCTGACCCATGCCCCATAGCCCTGGATCTACTTTCACCTTTATCAGCTTGCTGCACTTACTACAGAGATGTAATCCAGATCCCTAAAATCCTTAGACAGGATTCCAAACAAGTGGCTGTGTGGACACAGTGCCACTGCTCCAAGGAGCTGACAGCCCAATCCAACACAACACACAGTTGGAACACACAGTTTGGTGGTCGTGCAGGTGAGGGTAGTAGTTCCAGAAAGCCCACTCCAAAACTTTATCCTGAAAGACTCACTGCAGTTGTCTGGAGCTTATTCAGGCGAGTCAGATGGATGTGTTCACCGAGAGCAAAGCAAAGCACTTGTCTGAGCAAAAAGCCTTACTCTTAAATCCATCAGTTACCTAGGTCTCAGCATGTTACACCAGCAGAGTTACACCACTTCTTTGTTTATCTGAGATTCAGCCTCACCAAAGAGCTGATTCTGCACTTCCCTCTGGTGCAACAACTCCTACCAAGGCAAACTGGAGATCTCCCCGAGTCTGGAGTGCAGCTGCACTGGGTGCTTTTCCTGTCAGTCTTGTTTCAGACAGCTCCTCAGCACATTACAGCCTCATTCCACATCTAAATAAACAAGCAAACCAACCAAGAAACCAACATCTAAAATTCTAAAATTAATGAGAAATATGCTGTTCTCTATTATGAGATTCAAATTCCTTTTCCTCAGCCCTGGATTTTCGGCTGAGCACTCTGTTCATGAAAAGTATGACTTGCTTGGCAGTTATTTCACATGGAGACTAGGAGTGAGTAGGAGAGAAAAAATCATCATGCATTTGGGCACTATCATTAAAGAGCACGGTCAGGGACACGAAAACAGCATTTGTATCTGGGGGAGAGAATGTCAGAGCGCTGCTCTGCAAAGCTGATCTCAATTTATCTCAGGATATAGATAAGGTACTTGAATGAATTATAATCCCAACTTATTTATATTAGCACTTATTTATATTAGAAAATTTTTGTTAGAAACAAACCTTGAGCGATGCTGACAATCAAGCCTTCTCTTCTCTGCTACTCTTGCTGTGCCACAGGATGTGGGAAAGGCATGGAACATCTTTCATCAATACAACAAAAGTTGGAGGGGGAAACATAGATGTCCTTTGCAAGAGAAATTGTAAGAAAGCTTTTTGAGCTAAAGGAGCAACTTTGTGTCAGTCTTCAGAGTTAGCTGTGATCCTGATGAAGGCAATGTGTCACTCGTCTTTCAACAACACCTCAACTGTAAAATCCACAGTGCTGAGAAGGTTTTGTTTGGAAATACAAGAAACCAGGGGTGTGTTTTGATGAAAAGATGGTGCTTCCATCTATGTCCAAGAGAAAAGCCATGCGATGGTTGTTGAAGCAGCACAGCACACCAAGTTCGACTCCTGAAGTGCCATCCACTCCTGGTCTGAGAGAACTAAAACCAGAGAACTGTGTACACAAATGGTGTGTGCATACATGAAGGTGACTGATACATACACTCAAGGAATCTGGAGTGTACAATGAAAGCAGTTCTGCAGGTATTGCACTCAATACTCTACTTTCTCATTGTGCCTATCCACTCCCTCATGGTTTTCATCTGTTGTGCACTTGAAAATCTGGTCAGATCACTTTCGATCTGTTGTGCACCGGATTGAAACCAGTAACAGCAGACTGTATTTTTTCCTTTAGGTCTCAAAATATAACAAAGATATAAAATTCTAAAACCACAAAAAAAAAAAAAAAAAAGAGCTGCACATACTTTTTTGATTTTGAGTGAGGCCAGTAAGCACATGACTGAATTACCTGGAAATTCTGAAACAGGAAGGTAACTAATAAAATTATATATAAAGAAGTATATCTGCAATATTTAATAATTTAAGGCTCACAAGAAACTAACATATTAATGACAACAGAAGTTTTCTGCTCTAGGGTTCAAAGCACCAAAGTCACTTCACATACAAGATAACCAGATCTGTACTGATCACAAGTGGAAAACCCAGAAAGTGCTGATTTGCTAATGTTCCTAGTGCTTTAATGATATCATACTTCACAGGAATAAGAAATCTCCTTTCAACCATAAATACAGTCACACAGATACAAAATATATTTGAATAATTTCAATTTGAAACTACAGTACAAAACCCCTCAACCTCCCCCCTCCCATCCCCAATCCATTCATTCTCCACACACACATCCCCCCAGTTCTTTACACTAAACTGGGAGCAACTGAATTGGTTACAAATTACCCATTCAAAACCAATGACCACTTGCTAAAATAAGTTTCTAAAAATTAGATTTTTCACTGTCATAATTTACCAGCTCCTGCATCATGGAGTGTAGCTTATTCTTAGTCTATTTTAAAAATAAGTGACCCTTTGTGTCATGGAAAAAGAACATAAAAACATGTATTCCTGGAGGATTTCTCAGGACAGTGATCAATTTATAAAATACAGCCTGACTTAAAAAACTAATTGGTACTAAAAGAATAATTATAGTAGCAAGTTTCCGACACCAGAAAATCCTTTTGCCCCTCTGAACTCTAACCATCTCCTCTCCTCACAGGTCTGTTTCCCTGTTGGTGTCCAGACAGAGAGCATAGAGGGATTTTCTGAGATCTACATTACTTTTCGCTTTGATATTGGCTTTCTCTGAGGAGCTGGTGCCATTGTTGAACTCCTCACTGTTTTCCAAGTGCACAACAGATTTGTTCAGAGAGTTTTTGCTGGGTCTTCTCTTCACTTCTCCCCCCGCAGTGCTGCCCTGAGCACTACTGTGTTCATCTTTGAGGATAGCCTGCTCTTCGTGGTCAGTCTCTCGGTGGTAGAAGTAGTTGAAGTTGGACACGATGACAGGGACAGGGAGGGCAATGGTGAGCACACCCGCGATGGCACACAAGGAGCCCACAATCTTGCCCCCCACAGTGACAGGTCTCATGTCCCCATAGCCCACAGTAGTCATGGTTACCACTGCCCACCAGAAAGCATCAGGGATGCTGGAGAAATGAGACTCAGGGTCATCAGCCTCAGCAAAGTAGACGGCGCTGGAGAAGAGGATCACCCCGATGAAGAGGAAGAAGATGAGGAGGCCCAGCTCCCTCATGCTGGCTTTCAAAGTCTGCCCCAAGATCTGCAGCCCCTTGGAGTGCCTGGAGAGCTTGAAGATCCTGAAGACTCTGACCAGGCGGATGACTCTGAGGATGGCCAGGGACATGGCTTGCTGCTGGCCCCCACCACCATTGCTACTGCCAGCCCCGGGCTGCTGCTGCTCATGGGCCAGCTCGGTGCCCAGGGTGATGAAGTAGGGGATGATGGCCACGATGTCGATGATGTTCATGATGTTGCGGGAAAACTCGGGTTTGCTGGGGCAGGCGAAGAAGCGCACGAGGAGCTCGAAGGTGAACCAGATCACACAGGTGGTCTCGATGATGAAGAAGGGGTCAGCCAGGCTACTGGGTGGCTGCATGGGTGGGGAGTCCCCGGGCGTGCCATTCAAACCTCCACCTTGTGGGGGCAGGGGTACGGGCATCTCCCTCTCGTCCCTGAACTCGGGCAGGGTCTCCAGGCAGAAGGTGATGATGGAGATAAGGATGACCAGCACAGAGACGATAGCGATGGCCCGGGCTGAGCTGGAGCTCTCGGGGTACTCAAAGATGAGCCAGACCTGGCGCTGGAACTCATTGCGGGGCAGGGGCTTCTCCTCCTCTTTGATGAAGCCCTCGTCCTCCCGGAAGCGCTCCATGGCCTCCTCACCCAGCTGGTAGAAGCGGATTTCGTCGGCGAAGACGTCGATGGAGACATTGACGGGCCGGCGGAGCTTGCCCCCGGACTGGTAGAAGTAGAGGATGCCGTCGAAGCTGGGCCGGTTGCGGTCGAAGAAGTACTCGTTGCGAAGCGGGTCGAAGTAGCGAATGCGCTTGTCGGGGTCTCCCAGCAGCGTGTCGGGGAATTGGTTGAGGGTGCCCAGCTGCGTCTCGAAGCGCAGCCCCGAGATGTTGATCAGCACCCGCTGGTGGTGCATGGCGCCCGGGTTGGCCGCCGCCGCCTCCTCCTCCTCGTCGCCCGCCGCCGCCATGGCCATGCCCCGGCGGTGTCCCCCTTCCTCGGACGGCCCCATGTCCGCGGCGGGGCGCGCTGCGCGGGGCGGCGGACGCGGCGNNNNCGTCGCTCAGCTGCGGCGAGCAGCCGGGGTGCAGCAAGTGGCCCCGCCAGCGCGCCCGGCCGCCGGCGGCCGCGGGATCGTCGGTTCCCGCGATGGCCGTGGTGCCGCCGTTCTCCAAAGTCACCAGCGCGATCTCCATGGGCAGCAGCGACCTGCGGGCGGCCGCGCTGCCCTGCCCTGCCCTGCCCTTGCCGACCCGCCTCCCCTCACTGCGCCGCCGAGCGCGGCCGAGCGCGGCCCCGGGGAGTCGCCCGGGGACCCGGATATGAACGAGCGATCATTATATTATGGTCGCTTGACGTCAAAGAGGATCCCTGCTGCTCCGCGCCCCCACGCAGGCAGCGGCAGCATCCCCCGGGGAGCTGGGAGCCGCATCCCCCCGCGCTCCGCCCCGCCGAGGGGCTGCGCGTCGGGGCGCGGACGCGCTGGGGCAGCGGGGCCGGCTGTGGGGATACCCACAGGTGCCCTGCGGGGGATGCGCGGCGGGGACACCGCTCCGGAGGTGCGGGAGGCCGGCCCGGCTGTACGTGCGCCCGGGCAGGGGGCTGCGGCTGCCCTGCGGGCCGGGGCGCGGGGCACAGCGCTCTCCGCTCCGCAGTCCCCGCAGGGCGATTACGGAGCGGCCCCTGCGCGTGGATTTGCTGGCAGCGAGCGCTTCTGGCTGCAAACCCCGCTCACCTCTAATGAAAATCAGAACTGAAAGCCTCGGGGATTCCGGGCTCCTCTTGGCGTGTGTCCCCCCCCCCCCCCCCCCCCCCCCAGGGATTGGGTATTTTTTTTTTTTCCACTTTGCGTTTGCTCTCCCCGCTTCTGCTCCCTCGAGTTTCTCGCTGAATTTGTGTGGCTCCAAAAGGTGCTTCCCAAGCCAGCAAATGACATTTCTGCCGTGCTATTTTCATGTTAACATTTGCGCTTTCCCATTGATGCATTCTTAAACCCACATCCAAGGCTAAAATATTTCAGTAGATGCACATTTTATTAGAGAGAAACTAGTAGCTTTACACAATTACTTCAATTACAGTTCAGTAATACAGTCAGTGCTAAGATCTTACTTGCTATATTCAAGCCATGAACGCATCTATTCTACTCAAGGTCTGCAGGGAAATACGCTAAATATGTATCTAAATACTGTAGAATTAGAACCTGTAGGTATATATACACCACTCCCGTCTTGTGGAGTTTCTGGTTTTCTAACAAAATTGATTGTGACCATTTTGCCTTCCAGTTGGCATCACAGTGACATTTTTTCCTAAATCCTTATGTTACTACTCATAGCTCCATCAAACACTTCACCTAGATTCACTGTGACTAGTGGCTTTCCCCTAATTTAAAACATTACCTCTGTGTATGAAATCTGCCCAAAGATATTAAAAGCACTGCCAAAATAGAAAACCATAATTGTATTAAATGGTTTCTGTAAGTGGTGGCTTGGATTTTATCTCCAAGAACTAAGCACAGAATTGCCAACCTGTTTTGCCACTGTTCCAGTGAATAAAGGACAGCTTTACTCACACCAGTAATTTCAAGAAGCAAAATTATGTAGAAGATAAGTTCTTCTTTCAAAATAATGGCCCTTTGATTTACAGTTATTTAATGGGATAACATATTACACCTGCAAATGTAGGATAACACCCTCTGAGACTAGCAAAACCCACGATAAATACAGACACACCACAGACACAGCTCTGCACCCCAGTAAGGGATCTGCTACCAGTGCATATTGGGGATTACAACCAGAGCAGGGCTTGCACACTCGAAAACTATTCTGGTTTTCCAGCTCTGTCAGAAAGGCATTCTTCCTCCAAACATTGCCTTGGGAATAACCATTTGTTATGTCAGGAGAAAACATCCTCAGATATCTGTGACGGTGGACACCACTCAGAGCAGAATAAAGTGCACAGAAGAGCAGTAACTTGCTGCCTCTCAGATGTTTGTATCCATTCTGCCATTCCTTCATCATTAACAGGGAATGCCTGGGAGGGACCATGCCAAATTTAAGTTCTAGTTCAAGATTCTAGCTTTCCCAAGTATCAAGTTGCAGTGTTCACATCCTGAATTTGAAGGCAGATGGGATTATGCTGAAGTGCAAAGAAAAATAAAACTTGCCAAAATTCACTTGGATTAAAGCCTTGCAGAAAACCTTATGAAGAAAATGTACATTTTCAATTGATAGATCAGAAGAATGCAGCTGCTTGTACAGTATCTGAGTAACTTGTTGCTTCTTTCTTTGCAGCTTTCAAAGGTACAAGAATCTATTACAGTGTCTGTATGTGTGGGTACAAAAGAAGAGCAGAAAAAAGGGACAAGAGAAAGTGGGAGGATGATGTTAAAGGGGAAGGAACATCCACTCCAAGCAGGGAATTTTAAAGGACAATTTTTATTTAATAGCCTTCATTTTTTCAGCTCAGTGTGAAGACATGATCTTGAAGAGCAGCAGAAAGACAAGGTACTGGAGAGAAAGGACGACATGCAGACTAGGGAAGAATAGTGCTGAGATGTGCTACTAATGTTTTAACCAGGCAGTCCCTGAAAATAATTCATTTGTCCACATACTTGTGATTTATCCAGAAGTTGAACACAGAAAATCAGTCCTTTACAGTCCTGCACATGCACAACAAAACCTAGCATTCACTGCAGCTCCCACTGTGCCATTCCATAGCAGGCGTGGCTGCTGGGAGCTGTCCTTCAGTGTCCCACAGCGAGATGAAGGACCCATCCCATGGAGAGGTCCCACATGCTGAGAAATGAGCCGTGGGGATGGTCTGCAGGGGCTGCATTCACCTACCCACACCCAAAGTCACTCATGCACACACTACACTCTCCGGTACCCTGACCAAGGACACCTTGAGGATATCAGTCTTCTCACAAATACTACCTCTTGGGCCATCCCTGTCACTGACAGGGAGTGGTAGCATCACAAAAATAAAAAGACGATGCTGAGCAGTGAAGAGGGGCACACCAAGCTCTTGAGGTTGCCCAGAGCCTTTTTCCTCCTCAGTGCTGATGGGACTCCATGTGCCTCCCTCGGCACATTTTGTGGATACAGGGACCCCGGGGTGACATGGGTGACTCCTTTTTTTCCTTTTCCATGTGTTGACTAAATAACGGCGAGGTTGTGGCAGATGGTGAGGAAATCATCTGAAGGTGAGAGGAAACCGAAAGGGTTAAAGGAAAATCCGTGCCTCTGCCACTTGGTTAATTCCTCAGCAGCCTGATCCTGTCCTGAGATGATTCAGACCAGAGAGACGCACTGCCACAGTCCCCAGGAGAGATCCTAGGGAAAAGGCTCCTATTTCCAGGAGGGTTAAGTACCAGGCCATTGACAAATCACAGTAAACATCTGGATGGAGCACTCCATTTATCAAGCCCTAATCCATGAAGCTATTAATTAATGAATTCAGCATATTCACACTGTTCTGTATATAGGGCTGGCTGATCTTTCTAAATGTTTGGTTTCTAGGTGGTTTACATCTGTATCAACAGATTTTTATTTTTTGGGTGAAGCAATCTACTGTATTCTGCTTTTACTTGTTTAATTGTTTAGAGCAAGCCTTTTGCCTTTTTAAAAAAAAACAAACAACACAGCCATGTTTTCTGATAGTATATAAAAAAAATCCAATAGCTAAAACCCAACCATGTCCCTGCGTTTTATATTGCTTTGCAATTTTAAGCCCAAGTTCCACTGGAAACTTTCCACCATACAGGGATGGAAAAAACATTAAATAGTAATTGATTTTCTTTTCTGTATTTTGTTTTGATTAAAATGAGAATCCCTCTCATTTATCTTCAGAGAGAAAGTAAGCACTGAGTAAATGGTCTGGTTAATTCAAAAGTAATTTGATCTGAACATCCATAATTTACATTGACTGGAAAAGCAGGAAAGATGCTGAGCACTACCAGATATCAAGCTTATTCATTTCAGCAGCCTACTTGCACTATGCTTTACATCTTGTTCATGTAAACTGCTCTATGAACATCTAATTACCCATAGTTTGTAAGGGGGAGACTTACACACCACCATGCCCTCAAAAGTCATCTGTTAAGACTGAATAACACTCCTGCTCCCAGCAAACATGGCTGTGGAGCTAAGTGTGCTGCTTTCCACACAGCTGTGCCAGCCTCATTCCAGAGGAACTGCAGCCTTTGTCACCCATGTGTAGAAATAACATTTGGCCCAGAGGTTTTTCACAAATCCAGCTGTGGGTATTTTCAACCCACCCTCAAAGCTTTGGACTCTATCAGATAGCATGAGCCATCCAAGCTTGCAATTTATAGTTTCCATCCCCTTTTGACTTCCAGTTCTTTGCTGTGGTGTAATCTTTAATCCAGGGACTTGATTTTAGAGGCAAATTCCCATTCAATGCCTTTATTCTCTGTTAAATTCCAGAAGCACATAGCTGTGCTCTCAGGTTTTTTGTCACAACAGAGTTGCCCAGGTGGACAGTTCCAACTGGACAACCCAATTTTAAAACTGGAGAATGAAGACAAGAAAGGGCAATCTGAAGGAGTAACCTGCAGAGCCACTCAGCTATACCAATGCAGTTTTTTCTTCACTGCCAGTGCAAATATTCTCACAAGTGAATTTTGCTTGCATCAATGCTTCTTTAACAGCTGTGTTCCATGCCAATGTCTGTTCCTGTATGGAAAGCATGGTGTTTCTGTGCAAATTCAATCCTCCTTATCAGTCAACTGAAAATACTTCATTTTCATCCTGTGCCATCAAAGTCACACCAACAAAAAGCTCTTACTCATTCAAGATCAGGCCACTCACTCAGGCTGTGAGGAAGAGGGACAGGAATGAATCAAAGGTTTCATGTCTAGAACAAGCGGTGACAGTGGCGTCTGATTTAGGTGATCAATCACTTCAAGCTGTCAGGTGACAGATTTGTACTTCCATGTTTTGTTACCACCTATGTGACCAGTGACACTCCAGAATCCATTGCTTTGTCATACATGGACACAAATTAAGCTGCATAGGCTGCCTTAAAAAAAGGTAAATGGCACGTTTACAAATTAATGTATTTTAAGAGTGGAAAAGCAAGGAGTAATCTCATTCAGATTTTGCACTCATTTCCAATTTTTAAGCAGTCACAAATCAAGGAAAATCAAAATACATGATGTTTATTCTGGTATAAAATTATGAGTGAACTTAGTTACTACATTTTGAAAACATTAAAGTGAGGGGAAACTGAGGTGGAAACCTACTCATGTATAGGAAAAAGAGCATTAGATTGATTTGTGAGCACAGATGATTTAGCATTAGGAAATGCTCTACCACGAAACTAGGGGCTACAGGTACTGATGTTTAAGCAGGAGAGGGTCATAAATGAATCATTAGGTGGACTAGTTTACTTGCACTGAGTCTTCAGCCCCCAGGTGAAACCCTCCACATGAATATGTTAGATACACAGCAGATCCTATTTTCCTGTCTTTCCAAACAAAGGGAGGAATGAAGGACCCACCAAAGGGATTTGCTAGTTAAAATTCTGACAGAAGAAGAACTCCAGTACTTGAAAGTGTCACTATTTATTAATTTATTAGCATGAAAAAATAGTTGACAGGAAGAAAACCAACTAGCACAGATGCAGTGATTCTCATACTCACCAGTGACAACCAGAAGAGAGACTGCTTAAATCAAAGGAAGGAGGTTGATGATGTGACCTTGTGTCAGTGTGAACAAGTCCTTTGTGTCTGTGTGTGAAGGGGAGGAGAGTGAGGAATGGCAGAATATTGTTTTATCTTCCACATGTGTGTGGAGGGGCTGAAGGAAAGGATTTGGGTACAAGCACAGAGCAGCAAGGAACAAGTTGAATTTATTTTTTGCAGCCGCTTGACTCCAGATTGTTGTAGGGCACACAGGTCTTTTGGGGTACATCCATTTGCTAGGTTCAGGCCAGCTCTAGTCCTCTGGACATTCCCAGTGGAGTTGGACTTTCTTATATTTGAGCTGGATTTGGCTTGGCAATGGCAACGCATCATGTCACTAATTCCAACCCTCTCCTTCAACACCTTTGTTTTTCACAAAATACCACTACTCTGTAGTACCAGTTTTAATCAACTGAGCAGTATTCAATCAATATTACCACTTTGTAGTTTAATTAGGATCTTCAAAGTACTACTACATCAAAACTTTAACAATATTTAACAGTCTGCAGATGAATATAAGTGCCAAATTCTAGTTGTAATTGATTTAGGAGCAAAAAAAAAAAGAACCCAGTTGGTGATTTTAAAATCAATGGAGCTATGCAGCTTTGCACTACCCAATGAATTGATTATATACATTTTGTATTAATTCTTATACAGTTAGGTAGTGGAGGTGGTTGCTTATGATGTTGTTAAACTCTTTATATTTGACAATAAGCAAAACTTAAAAATAACAATATTAAAAATAATAACAAATTGGAGAAAAAAGTTATGAGTAAGGAACATGAATCTATTCTTTCTAGTTCAAATATCGCATCTACAAGGAGAAATACCAAATATCTTCATGCATTAAAATCCTCTATTGTTATGAGAGCAAACAGAGGGAAATAAACATTCCAGAAAATGGGAGATGGTGACTCCTAGTGCACTGGTTTCGTATGAGGATGAAAGTGCTAATAATGCCTTCTTTAGCTTCAGGACAGTGAAGACACCTGTCCAGCCAGATAATCTAATGTCCAATTTCCTTGCTGCTTATTCTGATAAGAAGTTAAACCATCAGGACCACCCCAGGCCTAGTAGGAGCTTCCTTAGCAGAACAGGGTGGAATGCAGTCTACATCCTGCAGTCCCTGTGGATTCCTGACCTCTGCTGCTACCTGGACATTGATTTCCAGGCTGGAGGCACATGACCCTGCCTGACCTACAACACCAAGCTGAGATAGTTCTGTAGATGCAAAGAAACCCTCTACAGCCTCAGAAATGAGGCAGGGAGTTGTAGCTGGCTGCTAGACCTTGGACACTGAGTTAAAGATGGAAGGGAAAAAGACCTTATCTTGCAAATGTCCCCAAAGCCTGCAATGGTGGTGGCTACTTGGCTTAGCTTGGCCTCAGCTTAATAAAATGTGCTCCTCAGTTCCTTAATCCCTGAGTTTACATCATTCCTTTCTTCTCCCTGACCTGGGATATTTGAAGGCAAAACATGAGCCTCACACACACTTCCCAGATACATTTTCTTCCTGAAGCCATGTCACAAGCAGCAGAGAACGCTCATGTTCATCAGGCTGTGCTCTCTGTCCTCTGATTTCCTTCAAGTCAGCTTCTCCTGCTTTCCCCTGATGTAGGTCTGGTAGTAGAAGCGTAGGAAGAGAGCCAGGAGGCTGAGGATGTAGAGGAAGACTGCAGTGTTGAAGCCATCAGGGAAGGGGCAGTCCGTGAAGAGGTTGTAGGAAGAATGAGCAGCAATAGCCACAAACTGGCACTGAAAGAGGTGGAAAAAAGAAGCAGCCAGATTAAGGAGCCTACATGAGATACACCTCAGCTGGCCATTGAGACCATCACAGCTATCACATCTTCCTAGCAGTGTCCTCAACACACAGGATCACTTGATTGCCTCTCCTGACATTCCTGGGAACCTTCCTGTCAAGTTTAGCAGTGTTTTCCCACCAGGAAAGATGTCCATAAAACCTGGAGGTTTAACCAACCCAGCCTCTCCTGCCCTTGACCCATTTCTCTGCCATAGTGCAGTAACTGAGATGCTGGAATATGGAAACTCAAGGTGGGAGATTCCTCTTCTCCAGTGGTAATAAGGTTATTATACCCATAATTATTTTGATTTGTATTTTAACTTGCAGAGAGGAACTACAGATACTACCTTTATTAATTTAAACATTCAACATTAATTTTTTTTTTTATTTTACTAAGTCACCTGTCTCAACACCCTGAAGCAATGAGTTCTACCTAACAAAGAACTATTAAATATTTTTTTCCTGTGCTATAGTTTGCATTACAAATACTTTTTTATTTCATGCAATGTTGTCTTTTTCTGCTTTGCCATGCAGGCTAAGTGAGAATTCTGGAGCAGCCTTCATTGCACCACTGTTTTACACATATCCTCTTCCTCTTGTAATTGCATACTTTTGGTTTGCAAAGCGTCTCTTTGAGTGGAAAAATCTCTCCTATAATCATTGTCCCTCTCTGGACCATTGCATTTATGCTGTATCTTTGAAAAAACACAAGGTTTTCCAGATTTGTAACTTCATCAGAGATGAAGGGAAGAAAACCCAAAGGGATTTTCTACAGAAAGAGTAAGATTCACATATTTCTCTTTAACTTGCCTGTTTGCCTGCAGTTAGAGACCCCCTTCCTTTCTGAAGGAACTGAATCAAGACTCCCCCATCTGCTGCCCTACTAAGAATCCAAAGCTTCCCTGAATCAATTCCCCCACCTCTCCACATCAAGCTCTGTTTTCAGTGCTCCATATACAACATAAAAAGGAGGAATCCAATTGTTAATTTTTCTCTTCCCTCCCCATTACAAAGCTGTGGATAATCAGTTTGAGATGGTCACTGAAGGCCTCTGATAGTCTTGTGAAAGCAGCATTTGGAGCAGGTCACCCATGGCTTCACCTCTCAGAGTGGCACATGAAGGCACCTGGGGATGTGCTGCCCTCCATGGGCAGCAATCAGATGGAGCCAGTGAGGTGACAGACAGCAGGGGCCATCACACCTGAGCTGTGGGAGGGTAGGGGTGAACACCTGGAGCTAATTACCAGCTGCAGGATGGTCAGGTAACGCTTCCACCACAGGTGCCGGTGCATCCGCGGCCCCAGGCTGGCCAGGGCATAGTAGCCATACATGAAGATGTGGACAAAGGAGTTCAGCATCCCGACAAAGAAGGCTGAGGAGTGAAGAAATGAGGGTGAACAAGGCACATGACCCATTCCAGGCTAACCCTGTGAAGGGCTCACAGCCACTCTGATGATGCTTCCAAAATACACCACACCCACCTCTGTGCATGAACATTCCACCTGGGATCTCATACCTCCCATGCAAAACCAGGACACTGTGGAAGCACGTCAGCTTCTCCCTTCCTTCAGCATCCAGAATCATTGGATGGGTTGGGTCGGAAGGGACCTTAAAGGTTGTCAGCTACAACCCCCAGGGCACATCTCCCACTAGTGCTGCCCCAAAGCTCCATCTCACCTGGCCTTGAACACTGCCAGGGTTAGGGCATCCATGATATACCCATCCCATATCAAGTGTTCAGAGACAGTTAAGGGCTTCAAAGACAGAGGAGAGACTTTGATCGTCTGACCTAAGCATTTCACACCATTCTAGTGTCAAGGCCGTGTAGCCAAAATTATTTCCCAAAAGAAGGATGCCCCAGCATCTTGTATAGGGCCTACCTAGAGTGGCTTAGTACCCAGATACTTCTCTTCCAGTTGAGCAAAAAGGGGCAGCGTTTTGGATACAGCCCAGAAATGGGCACAGCCAGAGCAGGAAACAGAGCCAGAACCTGGGCTGAGTGGGGAGTGAGGGAGCACTGCTCTGGGAGGAGATATACATACACCTTCTGTGGGATGTTATTTTTTTCTGTTTGGAGCCACTCTGATGCCACACTCTTATTCTGGGCGAGGCAGTGAACATGGCAGCCTAAATAGCCCCAAGAGCTGAGCAGATGGGATCATCTGAAATGCACGTTTTTCTCACCTTTGGAAGTAGGTGAGCTTCCTATCTGCCAGTCAGCCCATCTGCACTGTTAATGCTAGCCTCCACGGCCCCAAAAAGCCATGAGAAACACAAGGTTTTCTTGCGGAGCATTTCTTACAAGCATACCTTGTCCTCCAGGCACGTATTTGACCCCTGACCACCAGTTGAAGAGCATAGAGCTATGATGGTACACGTGCAGAAAAGTCACCTGCTCTTGTTTCTTGCGCAGAATTAAGAAAACCTGAAAGAAGCCAGGAAAAGGAAAATCTTGAGTCAACGTGTTTAGACAAAAATTTCACAGTAATAAGTTATAAAAATACCTAATGATGAGTCTGAATCTCCTAGACCCATTTCCTCTGCTGTTGACAAAAACTGGTGAAATGCAATGGAACTTATAGGGGGAGCTAGAAGACAGAATTTCTTCCATAAAGCCCCAAATATTTTTATGTCTGGATTCAAGGCCCAAGGTCCAAAGAGTACGCATCTTCTGAGACGATGACTGAGCTTCCATACAATTCACAGCTGCTTGGAACTGCTCCTGTTCAGGACATAGGTTCTATATTTACTGCTACCAGACAATAACCCACAGAAAATACATTCTCTTGAATGGCCAAACCCTTCTGGAATTTGTATTAGTAAAGAGAATGGTTTTGCCAGATGAATGCGTGTCACGTCACTACATTTCACCATGCACATTGATACACACACACGACAAAAAGTGAATCTGCTTTTCAGGCACTCAGGACTGGCAAAAACCTGCTTTTGTTGCTGATGCAAACAGAGAGGGGCTTGACCAAAACCCTGGCAATAGGCCTAGGAACCTATTGAATGTTTATTCACATTTCATTGGGTTGTCAACTTACACCCCAGAGAGCTGTGAAATTTCAGGCTAGGACACAGCTGTCTTCTGCTGGCCAAGCAGAGGCCTTGTCCAGTCACTTCATTCATTTACAGTGCAGAAGGATACCTGAAGACAAGCTGTAAAGAGGTGGACTTTCAATTCCCCCAGGACACAAACCTTTAGTGCAGAGCTCTGGGAAAATCCATGGCAGCAGAGATGCCAGGACTTGTCCAGCTCCTTTTCTGCCCCACTGTTAGTCAGCCAGCCAGGCAATAGCAGAACCTGTGTAGCACCAGCAGTTAAAATTTTGGGGACCCACCTGGCAGCAGCCAGGGGGATAAAGCCTCTCCCCTAGCATTGTGCCCAGCCTCAGGAAGGGTGCTGGGGAGGGAATGTGTGCAGCCAAGGGATGGAGACAAGCAGCGAATCAATACAGGATCAACCCAGGACATCAGCTCTGGCATGCTTCCCCTTTCTGCCAAAGAAGTATCTGTATCCAGCCCCGGTCCCGCTGAGGAGCTGAGCCCTCCTTACCGTATCCAGCAGCTCGATGACTTTGGAGAAGAAGAACCACCAACACACTCTTGCCATCTGCTGGGCAGCACAAGGCACGGCGGTTAGAGCTTTACCCAAAATCAACACATTTTCAACCACGCTGTATCCCTGCCCACCCGGGGTCTGCAGCAAGGGGGGAAAATTAAGGGTTTCCTTTTTTTTTTTTTTGGTCACATGGCAAGACTCTGAAAACCCGAAAAGATAATATGATGCCTGCATCTCTTCCAAGCAAGGCATCGTAATTCCAAATTCAAAGAGAAAAAACTCATGCAGCTTTTTTGGAAAGCTGACACTGGTGGGACCTAAACCCTTGTGATGACCAAGGAATAGTTTTAGCTAAACCCCTCTGCTAAAAGAAGGGTTGCGTGAGATTTCTGCCACACAAGGCAGAGGACATAAAAATCAGTTTTCTTGTTGGAAGAGATTACCCAGAATCCTTATAATTCATGTGAAGAATCACACTTATTTCAATAATCAATATACAAAATTGATACTTCACCTGGTAAGATCACCCTCTCTGAAGTGGTCAAAGAAAAAACTTAGATGGCTGGGTTGACTGAGATGATTAATTTTAGAGAGCTAAAACAAAGTGCAACAACTGTTGAAGGAGAAAATTTAGTGGAATAGATTTACAGATTTACAACAAACTGGAGTCAAACCCTTCCTAGCCATGCAAATTGCTATTTGCAAAAGAATCTGTCAGCCACAGGAGGGCAGGGCCTAAAGCAAGCTTTCTCCAGAACTGTACCCTCATTCCTAGCTCACTCCGGCTGTAATCCACTGGCTGGCACAGGTAGCTGTAGTTGGCCAAGACTGAAGTGACCAGAAACTGAAACAGATAAAAAACAAATAGAAATCAATATTTTGTTCAATGCCATGTGTTCCAAAAAAGATGGGCATATTAATGCTAAGGTAGTAGTGTCTCAGTCTTATAGTTGCTGTCAGAAAATCCATGGACAAATAGTAAAAACCTAAAACAAAGTACTTCACATCCTGGTTGAAATCTCAAAAAAAAACAAATTTGGACTGGGAAGGCTTGTAAATCTTTGTGTAATCACTGGAGGGCTCAAAACTACTTCAGCAGGAATACTGAATTCTTGGCTTCTGAGTCTTTCTGAGAGACTCTGTTCTCCTTTGCAAAAATCCCAAGCTGTTCTGTTTTGTTCTGTATTTGCCTGTTCATTGTAAAGCCAAAAACTGGACCAAGTAACCAGTACAACTGAACAATCAAGCACAGAAAAGCAATTTGCACATCTGTCCTCAGATGGAGCAGCATTTGTTAAAAAAAAACCCAAAAGCAATTTGTGTTAATGTGACACTTGTGATACAAATTAAAAGGGCATATTTGTAGGCATGAAAATGTTTTTGAAACCTATTTGGCCACGTTCCCTCAAAGAGTTTTCAGTGGCCTACATAAACTAGGGGGAACAGGCTTGTGGAAAGGCTTATGCATTAAGAACAAACAGGAAAAAAGGTTCTTAATACTCTCAGCAGCAGGAAGACAGAGAGTGTTTGGCACTCCAGGAGAAAACTGCCAACTTTGGAAAATCATAGAATGTTAAGGGGTTGGAAAGGACCTCAAAGATCACCCAGTCCCAACCTCCTGCCTTGGGCAGCGACACCTTCCACTAGTTCAGTGGTTCTCATCTTCAGAGACGATCCATCATCAGCCAGACTCGAGGTGAAATTAGGCAGTTCTACATCCTCCACACTCCTTGCCAAATAGGGAATTCTCAACTTGCAATTCATTCATTCAGGATGAATGAAATCCTATGTTAATTTAGTGAATGGAAAGAGGATTGAGAAATGGGAGGAAATCAAGCAGAGCAGGACAATGCTGCTCCTCTTGTGGTAAAACATGGACATGTCCAAGCCAGCTCCTACTCCCTTCAGCAGAATCCATCAGCAAAAGCTGTTCAAACCCTGGAATCTGGAGGCTCTGGAATTCAAACCCTTGTCAGGTGCTTACCTAGGAGCCAATCCTGCCTCCTCACCTCGTAGAACATGTAGCTGGATAATGCCACCATGGCCAGGTTGTAGATGAGTAGTGGAGCCCTCAGCTCCAGCCGCCACTGCTGCCGCATGCAGGACGGTCCCAGTGCCACCATGAAGAGGTAGGAGATGAAGACCAGGGTCACTGGAAGTGGGGAGTAGACCAGTGGCCACGGGTCTGTCCTTGGATCTGAGAAGCAAAACACACAGCCACAGCTGGCACCTCCACACATCGCAGTGTGGATATATTTAATTGTAGTTCATTACTTCCCTTTGGTGCACTCGCTGCAGAAAGAAAATTGGTGTCTTTGTGTCTTTGCAAAGCTGCCCCTCAGTCCTTCTTCTCTGACTCTGCCAAAAGGCTTTAGTATAAAGGGTTTAGCCCAATTTTTGGGTATGGATTGCAGTACTGGAAGGCAGATCTTTCCTGGGATGAGCTGGAGCCCTCCCTGGGTGAAAGGAGCGATCCCAGACTGTGTGGGGAGGCTCAGGAGCAGCCAAAGCAACAGTGGCTCCTCAGGAGTGTAAATCATTACAGCTAAATTATAAAAGTGTTTCAATCACTTCCTTACAATCCTCAGGATATCTGAAATTCTCCACTCCTTCATTTTTATATCTGCTCATACAGTGGGCTCTCTTAAGCATGAATTCGCTGGGAAATGCCAATACACTTATCCCTGCTGAAACAGCTCATTGGTTCTACAGCAAAGGAAAACTCAAGAGATTTTCTGTCATGCCACTTCCTCCTAATCCTGCTATCACCTGGGATATGTTATATCAGCAAAAACATCCCAGCTTCTATTCATGCTTTCCTTTCCTGTGTGATCACTGCTCTGTTGAACTCCTTCATTTTTTTATAAATGCCATACCAGTCTGGACAACTCTGTTAACACCCCTCCCTTCTAAACCTTCCAGTTTTTTATGATGGCCATTATGGGCTGTGTCAGGAGCTCTTTGGTAGTCCATTTCTAGATTTAGCAGTTCATCACAAGTCCTGAATCCCAATTTACACTCTCTTGTGAAATTCAAGTCCTGAAACCTTTACTGAGCATTATGTAAAGTCTGAGCATTATGCCTCACGTCCTCCTCCTGCAAGCCTTCTGTTCTACCTTCATGGCATTTTGTGGCTTTTCTTTACATCCAGAGATACATCAGAGGCCTTTGGGACCAAACTGAGCCTTTAACTACTGAAAATCTGATGCCTCCTCATTACAAGCTGTCAAATTTCAAGCACTGAGGAGTGGTTACTGCCAATATTTCTTTTGATGACAGGTTTTCCTGACATCACAAAGAGTTTAAACCCCAAAGTATTAACTTTTTGGCCAACTAAACTTTTCCATGACCCATGAATATGCATTTAAAAAAATCACTTCCTTTAGTACTCCAGACTCAACAGGCAATCCCAAACATTTATTGCTTCTCATCTTGTCAGAGCCTACTGGGAAATTCCCTGTCCTTTCATTCCTTACTGTGATCCAACTGAAGGGTAAATGAGATGTGGTCCAACTTCAGGGAAGTTTGTGATCATGGAGAAGGAAAAGTGAAAATCTGCTTAGTGAATAAAATGTGGACTAGCGTAAGGATTGCATTCCTTCTGGGTCTGGTTTTCATGATAATGCTGTTTATGCAGAAATTCCCATTTTAGACAGCATCTCTACCTACCTCCACTTTCAAGAATCCAGTTGTAGAATTCCTGAGCTTTCTGCCAAGTTGAAGCCATCCCAAGTTCTGGAAAGAAATTAACTTGACTGAGTCAGGAATGAGGAGGCTCTTTAGACAAAGGCTCAGAACTACAGCTAATGAAAGGATAATTGTTTTCTAAAAATTTAACTTTTAGACTAGGATTAAAGTCCCCTTTAGAAAAGGAAGAAAGAGAACCCCCTCCCACCATAACTATTAGCTACTTAACTTCCAGATTTTATTTATGTATAAATTTAAATAACCTATTATTTAATTTCCAGATTTCGATATTTCATGGAGTTTTCACTTCTAAAAAATGCTCTGAGCAGCTGCATGTGTTCTGCCAGATCCAGGAGGGAACTGCTGGTATCACTGAAAAATCAGTCACGTGGCAATTTTTCCTAAAGCAGTGTAGGCACAACATTCATGTGAGGACACACACCAAGTGTTATAACTGCATCTTTTGGCAGGTAGTATTAGATATTCCAGTTCTGGAAGGCAGCTAGTGATTCACTTGGCACTGCTGCAGCTCTAGAGGTGTTTACAGAGCTGGTTGTTTGGTTTTCTGAGGCCCCAGTTTAGATATTAATTTTGTTTTATCTTGTATAGATTCTGTAATATAGTATATCAAATAGAATATTCATACATACTATGATGATCCTCCTCTTCCCTTCTTTCCTTTAGCAGGGAGATGTTTTCAAAGGCACTTGAAAGTTCTCCTAGAAAACACTTTTCTGCAGTTAGTTTCAACAGCTTGAACTACCTGATCCAGTTCTCTCCATTAGCAAATACACAGGACCAGCTTCCTCTCCTGCTGGCATTGAGAAAAGCACATTTTCTCCTTTGACCCCCCTCCTCACAGGCTGTGACACCCATGCCCAACATCGGTGACAGACACCCCCAAATTTCTCTTTTGCAGTTAATCCTTGCAGTCAACCTCATTTTTGGGGTGTTCCTCTGACACAAAGCCGGAGACCCTGGGAGGTGTCATACCCATCCTGACCCGGAGCCACATGCCCTTGTAATCCGGATGGACTCTGCCAGCACCCAGATTAGTCGGCGATTATCAGCGGGATCAGAGTCAATCCCGCAGGGATTCCACACAGTTACAAGTCCCCCAAAAATCCACACGTGCTCCAGCTCACTCCATTTCCCTTCCTTCCCCCCAAAACCATCGGGAAAAGGCAGGAAGGAGGAACAGACTCACCGCAGCAGCGCAGCCGTCTCCGAGCATCCCTTTCTCCAGGATTGTCCCCAGCCGGTCGCGGTGCAGGTGGAGCCAGCAAGACAAGGAAATGCAGGCTGCGCTCAGCCTTCCTCTCCACAAGGGAGGTGAGTGCATCCCCTGCAAGGTCTCCCACAGCTGTGGTGGATCTCCAGGCCTTCTTTTTCAGTCTCCCAGCGGCAGCCACCAAAACCCCACCGCAAGTTGCAGGCACCGTGGGGTTGTCACTTTGCCAGAATAAGCGGTTACATCACATACTCCTCCCCCCCTCCCTTGCCTCTCCCCACACAGTTTATCAGATTAGGGGACTGGAAAGGAATACAGAAGATTCCTGGGATTCCACAGGAGTGAACCACTGACCTTGAGTGCCACACTCAGAGAGCCCGGCCCGGCCAAGTGGGAATCGGGCCAGTATTTCTTCTGCAGGTTTCTTCAGGATGCCATGACAGCTTTGCAGACAGTATAAGACAGGGGATCATGGCTGGAAAGCAGTCTGTTTGGGGCACTCCTTCAGACCAGCACAAGGGGCTGACAGCAAGCCTTTTCTGTGCTCAAAATAGGCCCAGACCACCAAATGACGGGGCAGAGACCAGTGGGAGCACTCACTCACACTCACTCACTCACTCACTCATGGCAGGGAAAACTTAGCTGGAGTCATCGCCTCATATCCAGCCTGTGTCCCTGGGGGAGTCACTGTTTTTAATGACAGGAGAATATTTGGAGGGGTGTGACAGAGATACCAAGTGATCTCCAGCAACTGCATCAAGGGAAAATGCAGAGAGCTGCAGTGATTCAGTCCCATGTGGCAGGACCAGTACAGAACCAGGACCCTGGACCCCCACCCTCCAAGAAACAGCCCAAAGTCAAGTGATAGGGTTCAGCTTGGTCACCTGGGGCCACCTGGGGTGTGGATACATCCACTTTTCCCAGTGGGCACAGATTATTAGCAAACTCCAAATAAACTAGAGGGTAGCACCATTTCTCATACCACTGCATTGTGTCTGTCACCAGATCCATGACAAACCTTTCTGAAGGGCAAAGCACCAAAGATTAGGTTTTCAAAGCAGCTTTAGGAATTAGGCAGATCATGTGCTGGAAGTTTTTCATTGAAAGACATCATGTGCTGATGCTGCTGGACAGCTACTGCATTTCTATGATTTATGGAAACCATGGAAAAATTTAAACAGATATTTTTGGGAAAGGTGATTTAGGATGAAGGTTTTGAATTTGGGGGGTGAGGGGGTTAGAAGGGCAATCCAGTCTGGAAGAGGGTTTGACTGACCTTTGGTAGCATACTGGGTTTTTGCTGACCCAGGGTCAGAGAGACAATTATTGTGGACTATACAATTATAATAAACTTCACAATCATAGTGAACTTTACACATTTTTTTTGTTTTGTTTTGTTTGGGTTTTTTGTTGGTTTTTTTTTTTTTTTTCTTGCAGAGCTTTCTATAAAGAACTTTCTTTGAAGTTTTCTAATTGCTCATGAACCAGTATGTTTCATTTCTATATTTTTGGTGCCCCAGTCCTAAAAAGGGTTCCGTGATTTATCTGTGTGAACCAATGGAAGTGATAAATCAGACCAGTCCTTTCTATCTATCACATGTAGATGGGACTATATTTTATTATATCCATCTGGTAGTTTAAATAATGTTTGTTGAGTTATTTATATTGATGTATAAGACTCAGAATGACAAACACATAACTTTTCCATAAAATGTTTTTTACCCTAGTGAAAAAATAATCACCAGAAGTGAATTTTCACAAATTTAATTTTGGGGAAACTATTTCATTGTTCACATAAACTGGATTTTTTGCTTTATACCATGAAACTTATTTTATTTTTTTAAAACCTTCCCTCTTCCTGAAGTATTTCCAGTGGTACTGTTGCAGATGTTCACTGGCATGGCTGGTAGATGGAGAGATGTCCTCAGCAACATCGTACTTTTACACTGCAGGAATGGATGTCCTTTGATGAATGTCAGCACAGCTGTGAGGGCAGCTCTGCAGGGACTGCACACAAAAGCTTCAGGGCTTTCACTTTCAGCAAGAACTCAGTAGAAAAATAACCCCTGACATTGCTGCTTCACTGAAATAGTATTAGGGGGAGCTCTTAGTGCCAGAATGAATTGGGTTTTTCATTCAGTGACTTGGCAAGAAAAAAGGGGATTGCAGGGACATAAGTGACAGGCACAGTAATAAGGAACTCAGTTATGTAGAATGTGTGATGGCTCAGACAACTCCATCAGAGATTAAAAAATATATTAACCAGTGAAAACCCTGGCTATCTCCAGCATAGTTTAGAGGTGATTGCCACAAAATCATTATCAATAGCAAGTACCAGCAGTAAAACAATCCTGAGGGCTTCTAGACTGTGCAGCGTTTGCCCTTTGGTCCTGTGATTGCTGTTGCTTCCAACCACAGCTGTACTAAAAGCACAAATTACCAAAGGAGAACTGTTCTAATGCTTGAGAAAGGCAAGAAGCAGGGGGCCACTCTCATCTGGATACACGGGCTACGTCATGGTGCTGCTGTGAACCCCACAGCAGAGACTTGGCACATTACAGAACCACAGAATGGTTTGGGTTGGAAGAGACTTAAAGATCAACCAGTTCCACCCCCTGCTATGGGCATGGACACTTTCCACTAGCCCAACTTGCTCAGAGCCTCATCCAGCCTGGCCTTGGGCACTTCCAGGGATGGGACAGCCACAGCTGCTCTGGCCAACCTGTGCCAGGCTCTCACTATCCTCACAGGGAAGCATTTCTTTCCAATATCCAATCTAAACCTGCTCTCTGACACTGTGAAGCCATTGTCCCTTGTCCTGTCACTCTGGGCCCCTGTCTAGAGTCTCTCTCCATCTTCCCTGTAGGCTCCCTTCAGGGACAAAAAGGATGAGCCAAAGCCTTCTCTTCTCCAGGTAGAAGAAGAGGATCTTTAAGGTCCCTTCCATCCCAAAACCATTCTGTGATTCTCTGATCCCTTCTGCAGCAGAACACACCTTCAAGTGATATCACCAATCTGCTCAAATCAACAAAACACCAAATAAAAGCAGCAGGAATTTCAAGCTGGGTCAAAGAATATCTAACCACTTAAGGCACCACAACCTTAGCTACCGGCACACACTTAAAGATTTTATATGGCCAGATACCTTCTCAAAACTTGCACATACTTGGCCCTTGGAACTCCTGAATGGCATCAAATTAACTTCCTATGCAATTCAAGTGGATCAAACTGCTCAAGTGTTTGATGCATGCAGATATTCAGATGTAGTGTTTTATATGCAGATAATAAAAAATACTGGTAACTTATGTATGGAACTGGGTTTATTGAGAGGTAAATATCAGAGCTGAGGATGCCACAGAACAGGAAGGAAGGTGACAAACTCACAGATCTCTTACTCAGCTCATATCTACATCTGCACTCTTGCTAAACAAGCTGCTTATGGGATAACGCATTTACAAGTCAGGAGAAGTTCAAGCATCGTATTGTTAACTCTTTCAACAAATGAAGCACTACCTTGGTCCTTGGCAAATGTGCTCCAGAGCAAGCTCTGAACTCCTGAAATGGTATGTTTGTGAATATATTGCCAAGGGAGGTTCATGTCATCTCCCCTAATTCATGCTTTTTAACAACCACCTCAACTCTCAATTGCTCGCAACAGAAATAAATGACAGCTGGTTTTATGAGTACTCTCTCAGCAATGAGGAACACAATAATATATATTTTCACAGCAGTAGAATTTCCCACAGAATAATAATTGAATGGCTGAGTTAGTTTTGCTAATATGCAATTACCAGCTTACATATGTTTCTGGGGAAATCCAGTGGTTTCAGGTGACAATCGGCCACCACTAAAACACTCTTGAAGACCTCACCAAACTTTCCAGTACATCTGGGTCCAGTCCACAATGCTCTTGTGCATGAAAAAATCCAAACTCACAGCAGAAAGAGCCCCTTAAGAGGCCCAGTGAAGCAGCTGAAGATGCTTCTGGCACAGGGATCCTGTTTCTTGATTGCCTCACTTATGCACCATGCAATCAACTGCACAGACCTTGAAAGGTTTAGAAGAGATTACAGGAAGGGATTTTTGGCAGAGGTACTGAGCAGACTGTCTCTGTGCATAGGATTGGGAGATTGCATCAACTCTCGTGTAAATTACAGTCTCAAACCCCAGTATTTTAATTTTACCTGCATAGATTTTTCAGTTTAGTTAACCCGTGGGGGTCTCAGAAAAGTAATTTCAGCCTCTCCATGCCTCAGTTCCCAGAGCTATGAAGGAGAAGGAAATCTTGTCTCTCCAACAAAAGTGTGGTGAAGGTGACCTGCAGTGAGTGGAGAGCCAAATCTGCCATGTTCCACCCATCTGGGTGCAAACTAGGGTACTTCTGGCTCTGGGGCTGATGTGTGACCTTGGGCCATTAATTTCAAGTGTGAGCCATCTAATAAATGCCCTAAATGTAGGTGTCTACACCTAATGAACTTCTGCAAGGTTTAAGGGAGTTTTTAAAGGCTGATCCAGCTGTCCACACAGAGAAATGTGCTGACATTCAGGGTGCCCCAAGGTATCGCACCTGAGCTCCCACGTTCTGGTAGGCAAAGGATTCCTGCAAGTTCTGTGTCGTGTCTGTGAGATCCATGTGGATATCAGAGCTATCTTAAGGCATCTCCACTGGCACTGGACACCTATCCATGTACAGGCATCTGAATTGAGTCCTCTTTGCTTCTAGACCCACCTTTTTCCAGCCTTGCCTACTTACTTATCAGTTCTTTGAGATAAGAACCTTCTCTCATGATGTGCTTTTATGACCAAGCATTAGTCTTGGTCGTGGGAGCCTGAAACATCCCTGTCTCCAAATATGCCTTCTCTAGTAGCTACTAGGCCTAGAGAACTCAAAAACTTTCAGCTTTCATCTCAAAATCTGCTGTCTTTTCAGCATGTCTTGAATCAGTGTTATTTCAAAATTGCACTGTGACTGTCAAGGAGAAGGGACTTAATGCTGATCCCAAGCATCATCCAAAAACCTCCCAGAAATGAGCTTAAAATTATGTACTGATCAATTGGCTAATAGAAACCTCTTCCAAAAATAAAAACAAAAAGCCAACCAAACAAAAAATGAAACCTTAGGTATCATGGTAGCAACAAGGTTTTTATGCCAAGATGTTGGCATAAAAGGAGTGAGAAGTCAAAAGAAAGAGAAGGTGATGAGCCTTCATTTAGACATCCAAGGGATGCCGGGAATATTGTTCTAGTCCTAGAGCTCTACAAAGAACACAGAACAAACTTGATTGTCCAATAGAAGCAGCCTGTGGATCTCCAAACCCAGATCTCATGGCATTTCCAATATGCTGGAGCCACAGGTAGAGCACAGATTGAATTCCTGCTATAGTTAGTACAGTATCCACATAATGAGGGTACAGTGCTATGAATGCTGTCTCTTGTTTTCCCATCTAATCAAGGGAATACAGAATCTCCAAGTACCTGTCTCTTGGTAATACTTGAATGTTTCAGTGCTTCTGAGAACTTTCCTCTTCCATTTCACTCCCACACAAACCCACCAACAGCACTGAGTTGAGAAATTAATTCTGACCAGCTGTTCCTCTTGCAGGGAAAGCACATAATAGAACTTGCCACTGAACATCTACTGCCATTGGAGAAGGGCTTATTTTTCCTTTTTTTTCTTTTTTCCCCTCTAATTTCTGATATTCCTCCACTATGTGCACTCAGCTGATCAAACATGCCAGTCATAACAGATGCTGCTTCAGAAGCTGAAGAGAGACATTAAATGGTGCACAAATGTTGTGCAGGCCACCTGCAAATGTCTGAGGTTCACACTGTAGGAAAGAAGATGATCTTGTAATTGTAATGCTGCTGCTGAAAGAAAATAATGTTTATTCTGTTTTTAATATCAGATGTTCTGATTTACCACATCAACATCTGTTAGCCTCATGGGGATTCTGGAAGTCTAGGACAACTCTTCCTTTTTTTTGTTTGCCTGGCAGATACCCATATCATCCTCCCCCTGCAAAGATGTGTCCACCAAAATCAACTTACCTGGATCTCTCTGGGATGGTACTGTGCTTTCATCCCCTTCTGTTCCTGCCCTACACCTGGAGAAACCTCCCTGCAGAAATTAGTGTGGCTCCTTTTTATCATCAAACCTTTCCCCCGAATTATGCCTCCTATTCGCTGGTGGTCAACCAGACCATGTATCCCCAACTCTTTCCAGGTCACCTTTTATTGCCATTATGTCTGCCTTTCTCCTGCCTTTCTCCTGCCCATGACTGCAAAGCACTGGATCGTGTCTAACATGCAGATTGCAGGCTCTGCAGAGTCTGATTCCCTGATAGTGCACTGATAGTGCAGTGACTATCAATTTATGGCAGCAATAAAAACCAAGGATGCAAAATCCTCTTTCCTCCTCTAATGATCTGCTCCCAGTGATCTGGAAGCCAAATAGAGCAGATATTTATAGGAGACAGAAAATGAGCAGTTCGACTTTCCAACTTCCAATGGTGGATTTTGGAGCCAATAGGCAGCACAGAGTGTTCTGATCTCTGTCCTCTAAAGCAATTACTGTGTGGAGAGCAGCAGACACCTTCTGAAATTGCCTTATATTTACAATACCTAAAAAGATTCAGTTTTGTCATGGTCCATCCTGAACCTCTATCTTTGTGGAAAATATAAAATTTCACCTTGAGTTAAAGTAACTCATGACAAAAGACAGTGACATGAAATCCTTACTGAGGCAACAAACTTCTCCACACAGAAAAAAAATGGCAATATCTCTACTGGGCAGGACTTTGGCTGGATTTTATATATTGCGCTCAAATTGATGAACAATGTTCAAGGCTCAGATGGGGCTCTGAGCAACCTGGGCTAGTGGAATGTGTCCCTGCCCAAGGTAGGGGGTTGGAACTGGATGATCTCTAAGGTCCCTTTCAACCCAAACAATTTTGTGATTCTCTGAAAACAGCTTGGGTGATTAACTGGAGAAAAACTGTCATTCCCCC